CGCCACAGTGGTCATGTGACTCGCTGACGCAACAGTATCAATCTATCCAACAAATCATTTTAGGATAATATTTCGTGCAGAATTGTATTTGCTTAGTGTAATAAAATCTTCAGAATCACATCATTATATGAGCTATAAAGTTTTAGTGTCTAAAGAACTTGAATAATAGTTTATTCATCATAACCACAAAGTAAAAAAAAAGACATAGGTAATATTAACTCTGTACTGTCTAGCTGTCTCAAGAATAACAGCATTAAGCCTATTGCCATATGAAATATTGCATCTTAAGGACAAGATTCAGTAGCCCTGATATTATAAAATAAATTGTAGTTTTATATGACAAGTGAATAAAAAAATCAAATGTTGGCAAAATATAATTAGACAGAGGACATGAAAAATTACATCAATCCTCATCATCACACGTACAATGAAAACTGTTGTCATACAAAGAAAATGTTAAAAATAATAAAAAGGATAAAGAAACATGTTTAAAGATAGTTAATGCACTTAGTACTGTATGATAATTAGAATCCCTGTTTAATTTTTGTTTTTATTAAAATCTCTGTATAATTGGTCAGTTTTATAAAAAAAAAAATCAAAGAACTATGCAAAATAGTGTTTTTTGTTTCAAGTTGACAGAATATATACCATAGACTAATAACTTCAAATCTTTCTTCACTGATCCTATATGGGTTTCCAATAAGAAGGGTATAGAATAGCTTTTAAACTGCACAGCAACTGTAGGTTATTTTATTACAATGTAAATATTAGCTATAAAGAAGGAAAACGAAGTGTCAGTTTTTGATTCAGACTAAATGTGCTGGGAATACAGTTTAAGAGTGAGAGTGTGTGAATTTCTTCTTGTATGAATATCAAATGAAGAACACAGCTGTTCATTGCCATGTAACCTGGGGAGTGAGCTAAGTGTGATGAATTCTGAGCTCCGAGAACAAAACCAATTTGCCCAGTATGGTTTCTATGAAACCATGTGGGATGGTAATTGTGCTTATACATGTTTGAGTTCTTGCAGATCGGTGGCTAGCCTAAAGCATTCCCTACAAATGTATACAGGCTGTTATAAGCATAAATGGAATAAATTATTTAACATTGGATTTTAACTACAGTGTAAAATTCAGTATCTTAATGTTAACTTAAATCTTCTTATGTTATATAATTCTGAAGTTTTAAGTGTTTGTCTCATTTTAATTCTTTATAAAAGAAAATGATAATAACTGAAAGTAATATAAAAAGTTAAATAACATCAGAATGTTTCTTTCTTATTTTCATAATGTAATATTGCCTGACTTCTTATTCAAAGCTATTTGTGCATTTGTAAATATTTTTTTTTATCTGTAACACTTGTTTTAGCTGAGATATAATGTTTTAATTCATGTATGAATTAATGAAATAATCACATAATTTTTAGAGAATATCTTTATAATTCCAGTGGCATTGTATTAGCATATATTTCTTTGCTTTTTCATATGGAAATGCACTCTATGTATCATGTGAGAAAGGAGGACTCAATTATCACATAGGTCATCACACACATGACAAATCTTTTCAAGTTTTGTTATATTTATTTAAATATTTTTTTTTGTGATAAACAAATTTTGAAATAAAAACATTTAATGGGTTTTCAAATGACTAAATGTATATTTGCAGGAAAGGTTGTGGTATTGTTACTACTTCCAACTAAATAAGTGGTGATAGCAACTTTCTAAAGATGAACTTCTTTTCTTATTGGCTAATAATGAGTTGAGCTGATTTTATTATTGCCTTGTAGTAGTTTAGTTACTTCTTTGATTGACTACTGATAAATTTCTTCCCAGCCTAAAAAAAAACAATCATACACACTTTCTTAAAGCCCTCTCACAGATATGATTTGTTATTTCAAACAGTTTTTCTCAATCTAAGAAACTAACAATCACTTAACTTTGACAGTAGAAGGCTTCAGATCTCTCTTGTGTTTCTTAATATTCCTTATTGGGAGATTAACAGAGTTACTTTGTAATGGCAGTCAAGTGTGTCCAATTATGGGTTAGGGTGAAGGACATCTGATAGGCTGATTGTTGCATGCCTCACTGAATTTCTTCTAACTTTATTAATTAGCAGGCTTCAATGAGAAGAAGTACCATTATAGTCAAAAGTATTACAAGTACTATAAAGCAGGAAAAGCACTGTATATATTTTCCACTATATTTGTAATCTTGGTATCCATGTAAAATCAAAACTAGCACTTTGTGTCATAGTCAATTGTTTTCCAACCATGTCAAAGTGCAGTTAACCAAGTGAGTTATCAATAACCTTGAATAATTATTATAAATTAATTTTAAAATTTCATTTGAAATTGAAGAAATAAGGAGTATTTTAATTATTACAAATAAATGAAAAGCAGAATATTTTTAAAATTGTTAGTGATAGTGATGTTAGTTATAACAACAGCAAAAACAAAACCATTCTGGATTACCATTATTAATGTTATATGATGAGATCAGAATCTGTGTGTATCTTATTATTTCCTTACCAGTAGGTAGATCCTAATGTGTGACATACTTTACTTCTGCATAGAAATCACATGACTCAATTTTCATACCCAAATTTGTACTTGCTTTTCCATCCCAATTTTCATACATTCCATACTTAATTAAAATCACCAGGTAGATATGTAGAAGGACATTTTACCCAGGTAAGTTAATATACTTGTTATTTTAATGATCCATTGTAAAAAGAGATAACAGGTAGGGAACCTCAGAGCAGGTGGAGAGCCTCTGAAGTCATCAGTGACTCATCTGAGGCTTAGAACTGATGAGCTCAGAGGTTACTTCATGATGCTGATATGACAGAACTACCAGGGATACTTATAACATTACTGAACTGATTTCCAAGACTTTTGTCTACAGAATATAAACATCTCATTCCTTATTAAGCTGTGAAGTAGTTTTAGTATGAAGTTGGCATTGTTTTTAGTTAATATATTAAGGTGTTGAAACTTTAGTTTTTAAAGCAATAATAGAATAATACTTAATTTTCTTCCTCATATAATGAAGGATTTTTTATTTTATAAGTAATGTAATAAGTATGTTTTTGGTTCTGTATAATTTGTTTTTGTAGCAACCTATGAAAAAAATAATGTACTTTTCTTGTTTGCATCAACTTGTTTCTTTAGCTGGACTTTCTTTTATTCAAAGATGTAAACCGTTGTATTTTTTTGTTTTTGCAGGGTGTGGATAATGAATCAACTTATAAGACAACAGGTGCTGGCAAACACAATCTCTCTAAACCTTCTCCACGAATGGACAGTTATAGATTGTCCATGGCCAACTTAGAATGTAAGTAGTGGATGTTCTGTGAAGAATGAAGATGTAAGCATATGATTTAATCTAATGAATGATTTAAACTTACATTGATTAGTATGTATATGAAAAGGATTCCTCAGGTAATGAATATTTATGGTCATGATAAGGATCATGTAACTTGACAAGAACTAGTACAGTAAGAAGGCCTGACTGATACATAATACAAGTAGTATTCTCAACATAGGTAAGAATTAATGCCTCTGATAAGTATCCACAAGTTCATAAAACTGATTTATAAGTAACCTGATATATTTGATTATTATCGTAAAATCAACAAAACAAATTTGTACTTTGTTAGCATACAAAATATTTACAAGAACTGATTCACGTAATAATTATTGGAACATAGAAGAAGACCCCTTCATCAAAATGGTTACTGTGTATCTGATAGACTGCCATAGTTCTTAAGTAAATATTCATATGCAAGCTCAGTTTGTAAAACAGTAGAATTTGTCAGCACTAATTCATTTAAGGTAAGAACTTCTATATGGAATCAAAACGTGGTCCTGCATAAGCTTGTTTCTAGAACCTAAACAAAGCTTCAAATTAAACTACCATATTTTTTGGTGTATAAGACACACTTTTTTACCCCAAAATTTGATGTCAAAATCTGCTTGCGTCCTATACACCGAAG